TTCTCAACGCATCTAAATGAGAGATCTTCAGGAAATCTGAGTCGTTACAAGACTACAATATTCCTGATTAACCATCACCTTAACATGCCACACAATCAGGTAGGAATAGGCTCTGTATAATTTTTCTAACTTCAGGTACAAATTTTGTTCAAAAAGAACACCATATTCTTTAAGAAAATATGAGTATATTAGTTTTCTTTTCCAGATTCAGTTGTCTTTTTTTTAAATCACGGTTAATGGCCTACTTCAAATCTACGTACAGAAAATTCTTTATGTACATTCGTAAACAGAAAAAAAAGGAAAGTCATTTAGAATTTTTTTTTCTTTTAGTCCAGAACCTTCAAAAACATTTTTCATACCATACAAAAAACTATTTTTCCTTAGCCACTTATGAATAATAAATTCAGGAAAGTCTAACTATCTACAAGAAGGGGGAAAACCCGATTCAAAACCAAACCTTCCTATATTTCAGAATATAACTTAAATTATGCACCTATTTCTCTCTCTCTCTCTCTCTCTCTCTCTCTCTCACACACACACACACACACACAGAACAAATTTATATCTTTTGAAAATTTAGAGATCAGAGATCAAAACCCGCAGAAGAAACTGCGGAATCAACCAGCAAAGCAACATCAGAGGAGAAACCTGTATGGCACCCACTAGCAACAGCGCCTGTTCGAAACAGTCTCCCTCCATTCTATTTCCGTGGGCAATGTACTGAACATTCTGAAACGCATTTTAGACAACTTTCCAAATGGGTAATGTTAGTGTTCCTATGAACTCCTCTGTAAGGGGAGGCAAAAATCCTAAGGGAGTCGTGAAGGTATATATTGCTGAACAATTTTGCTCTTTTTCTTAAATGGTTAATGGTTAAAAAGCAAAATAAATGTGCTAGACATCTAAGGTCATATAGCACTATAGGAAATTATATTAAAGGAGGGGTGAAGGGTGATAGTTGCTATGTCAACTATTTAGAGTAATCTTGAAAGGTTAAAGATGGGTAAAGGAGTTGCTGTGTGAATGGGCTATGGTGGGTCTAGGTAAGGGAATTACATATGGGTTTTACATGTGTATCCAGGAGGGAGTGGAAATGATAGAGAGAATGGAGAGAGGGAGAATGTACGTGTACTTGGAGTTTGTGTTGGGAGGGAGTAGGAGGGTGGGAGTAGCGGAATATGAGTAAGAGGAGGATGGATATTGGTAGTATCAGGAGGATGGATATCGGGAGGATGGATATCAGTAGTAGGCGGAATTGAGGGGGTTAGGTTGTGTTGAGAGGAAGTAGGAGGAATGGGTGTAGGGGGAATATGACTAGGAGGGAGATGGATATCGGCAGTCACTTTGAGTGTGGAGGGAGCAGGAGTTGTGGAATTTTGTCTCAAGCATATAGCTTTGAATATCTTCCATAGTTTCTGCAGTGGAGTTGGTTGGAGAGTTTTGTGAGACAAAGGTTTTCTTATGAGGGGGGGAAGAGGAGACTGGTGTCTGAGGAATAAAGGCAAAGGTAGGTGGAGGTGAGTGTGCCGTAGGGGAACACGGGGTGGAACATTTAGTCTGTCTGCTGTGGGCAGTGCGGGGAGGGAGAGGGGATGGTGTTGGGACTGTAGTTGAGATTTAGAATGGCAAAAGAATTTGATTGGGGGAGGTAGAATGTAGAAGTGGAAGTGGGGAAGTAAGTAGGTATAGGGGAGGGTCTAGGAACATCTTGAGGTGCCCATGGTTCCCTCAGGCTGTTCAGGACTGGCACAAAGTCAGCCTTTCATCCTTTCAGCACGGCTCTTACACCTTAGGAAGTAGATAGTAGAAGTGGTTGGAGAAGGGACGGAAACAAAAAAGCAGGAGGGAGAAAAGGCCATGCAAAATTAGTTGAGTTGAGGGCTGAGGCCCTAAGCAGGGGAGATCTCTGCATTGGGTCTCAGTCTCCTAAGCCCCCCCACGACAACAACGGGCAAGGGATTGGGGGGTCTTTTTCTTAAAAATATGTCATTAGTTGGGCTGATTATTTGCAGTATCTGGTGAAAATATTTGCTGTTCATTCATAACTTTAATGATTCTTTAATATTATGATGGGCATCCCAAACATAACTCCCTATATGATCACAGACTGGATTCCAAATGCAATGTATAATAATGGTTAATCTCAAATGGTACTCACAACTTAATGGAGAGAATATTGGGATTCCTAGAAATTACCAAGAACTTTGCCAAGCTACCTTCTCTAACACCCAATAATCAACATTCTACCATTCACAGCACATTCGGCAGATAATTCAACATTCTCTATACTTCCCCCCCCTTAAGAAAGAAAAGAAAGAAAAAATCTACATACAATACAAAGCATCAGCAACTATGTAGGTCATAATCAACTATTACAAGGACATAACGTATTCTCAAAAGTAAATAAAAATAATCCTCTTCTCAGGCCACCAAATTACTGTCTCAAGATCCCTCGACAAGAAAAGAAAACAAGTCTTCATCATATGGAAAGATAAAATCTGATGCAATGAGACATGAATCAAGTGTGTACATGAAGCAATCATGTCTTTAACCCATTAACGCCGGTATATTTTGAAGCCTTAAATAAAAGATTTTGGGCGGCTACAAAATCGATGGGCGGGGCTTCGCCGGACTCTGCCCGCCCGCCTGCCGTGGCCCGCTGCTGCATCGGAGCGCAAGCCCCGATACAGCATCACACTGGCAGTATACCCAGCAATGTTTATTTTTTCAGGTGTCTCATATGTGGAACACCCAACGTTAGTGGGTTAATACATATGAGTGAAATTCAGTAAGGCATAAGAAAGTGAATATGTGATGGAAAACCTTTCTCTATGCAAGGTATGAATGAAGATGGATTTCTTCACAGAGATGTATCTGACTGGTTTTGATTATATCTTTGACAGAAATACTTGCATTTTTGACAGAGATATCATTGAAACTATTCATTCACATCTCTTGCACAATGAAGATATTCATTCTCATTCATACCTTTTCCACATTGGTTGTTGTGAACACAGTTCACGTGTAACGTATTTCTTAATAAATGTTCTACTTGTGAATCATTCCATTATATACTGACAGAAGTAAGAGCAAGGAAAGGCTGCAGTTATCGAGTTGAACATGCAGTACTTTCAGGAAAATGTAAGTGTGAATGGAATTGACAATTAAATATTCTTACAAAAAAAGGACACAATGCATACTCAGCCTTTAGAAACCTTGAACAGTATGACAACTAACATGATTCTTTTTTCAGAGAGCACTGCAAGCAAATCATTCTATGCCTCCTGTTATCAAGCCATTCTTATCCTTCTCTTAAAATTTGCAGCTCTTTAAAAAAAGAAGACTCAGGATTTTAACAATCAGAAGCTTTAGCATCTTCTTGTTAAAATAAAATAAATATGAAAATGAAAATCATGATACATCTAACAAGTAATAAATACTCTTAGCATTCCTTTGCTTCAAAATAAAATCATAAATTGAAAATGAGCGTAATTAATGATCAGAAGTCGAAACAGGTTGTAATATAAAACTGGGGCAATAGGTACACATGCCATCTAGGTCTTAAAATATCCTACAAAATCCTAGTCCAATAGACTAATTCAGAGGACTTTGCCTCACCATGACCCCATCGATGAGCAATGCGGCAGAATAAATATTTATAAAAAAAATAATGCTAATTCTACATAAGAATAGGTGAAATGACGAAACAATAAATGAATGTAAGTTTTTGAAAAATATGTATAAAACTTAGTTTGTCAACTAGCATACCCTCCTATTTTTTTTTTTTTTTTTTTACATCACATCAAAATTGTATTAAGGGGATCATCTGGTCAACTCACAGGCACCCTTTTAACACCTTTCTAAATTCCCTGTTTTTTTCTTTTCTCTTTTAACCCTGATCAAAGATCAATCTACTCTTGGAATTCTTGAGCAATTTATGTCTAATTTGGTGGCTATACTATTGCGGGAAGAAATTGCACCATTTACTTTTTTGATTTGAGGCATGATTTTGTAATCATAAAGGCAAAGTAAATATTAAAGGAACAAAATAACCATATTAAAAAAATGCTCCCAAAAAAAAAGAAAGAAGAAAAAAAAGAAAAAAGAAAAAAAAGAAATGAAAAGAAAAGGAAAAGAAAAGATAAGCCAAGAAAAGAAAAGAATAGAATAGAAGAGAGAAGAGAAGAGAAGAGAAGACAAGAGCAGAAAAGAAACGAAAAAATCTATAAGAAAACTGCTTAAAAACTATTAAGAGTACTATCAATCTGAATGTATATAAAAAAACAAGCTTGTATCATAACACAAGCCATCAAAGTTTCGCAACTATTTCCGTATCATCACTTTTTGATATCTGATATTTACAGATCAGGTGTGGTATCTAAGAAAGGGGCATCGCAGACTGCAAGTACTAAAACTCAGCTATACAGCCAGGCAATTTGTGACAACCCCCTGCACTCACTGCCTCATGTGAAAACGCACCGCTGCCAGTTAATGCATTTCAGTATTATATAACATTCCTTCAGAAAAGCTTTTGTTACAAACTCCTGCCTAAAATAACACTTTACTTTAGGAACAATTGGACATTCCTGGTAGATTAGGCCCAGAGTGGTCGGGGTATGAAATAGTACATATATCCTAGTGGCTTTTATTATCTGGGAAACTGTGTTAAAGTATGAGAGTTTGACCCTAACACAACACACTGGCACCTCAAGCCTGAGCTTCCAAACGTCAAAAAATAATTGGAAAAAAAATCTACCAGATGGTCTCCTTAAAATTCCTTTTCACAATAATGATTAAATGCATGTTCAGTCAATATGAATATATATAAAATATTTTTCTACTTTAGAAAATCCCTTTGTTAAATCAGGGTCTTTTAAGTGGCTAACTACAAAAGTAAATGAACTTGTGTCATTTCCTTGATTTTGCAAAGCAAACAAAAAATGCAATGCCTGTGTAAAGTCACATCACAAACACATGAAAGTCAAACTAAAAAGCATAAATAATTTGGTGTACAAATTTATCACATCAACTTTCCATTCATCCAGTTGTTCTGGCTGTGGAAAGCAAAAAGAACAAAAAATTACACACTTCCGATCAATTAGTGTGTCAACTCCCCTATAGGTAATCTTTACGACAAAGAAACAAAAACTAATGGAGCACAGAATGTACAAGTGGTACTCTTTCAATTGATGGACCAGTAATATAATGATAGCAACATGAAACTGAAAATGCAATCAAAATTGAAAGCTGCCTTTGTGTCCTTTTAAATAAAAAAAATGGAATAAAACTGGTCCTCACTACTTGGCAAACTTTAACATACGAAAGGAATGATGCTCTGATGAAATAATTAAAAATCAGGGGCAATATTCACAAAAGGTCATAGAATTTTTTTGAATAATTTAAGGACTGTTCTTATAAACGGTCTTTGGATGTCATTGATTGTCGCAGAATTTATCTATGATTCAGTTTTTACACTGTTCCTAGCTGTTTCATCTATGACTCAGACTGTTCCCACATTTCAAACGCTTAACTAGAAGTATTCACATTTAAAATACCGTAAAGTAAAAGTAATACTAAGGTAATAATTATGGAATAAAAAGTGAATCTCAAATGCATAGTGACTGTAATACTACATAACGAATATCTTTCACATTTTTGCCTGCACCCTCTATGTTTGTTATCTTTGCGTCAGATGAGAAAGTGTGAAATGCCATTTGCATTTATCAAAGAGAAAACTGCAATAAAATTGGAGGAAATGGCTCAATTATCATTTGACAGTACATGATAATATTCCATATCCTGATGGAGAGTTATCTTCAACAAAAGTAAAATTGAAGTCTTGTCCACATCTCACAAAGTCAATTTAGAGACAGTCCTTACGAGTATGGTACTCTGCCAGTCCTGTATGAAACTTCGGCTGAGTCACAGACCAAAATCAAATGCTAAAGAAAATTTTGTGAAAAGTCATAAACTGGTAATTGGTCATAGATAAATCACAAAGCCTGTGACCATTTGCGAATACTCCCCCTGACTTCAACCATATCAGTTTTCTTGAACTGAATAAGTACTTGCTCTTCCTTATTAAAAAAAAAAGACATATCAATTTATAGGCATGAATATAAATAATTATAATTCGGATACACATGACCATAATAATAAAAAAAGTGGTGTATACAAACAGACACATTTCTCCAGCAAACATGAAAAAACATGAACTTCAAAGAACCTTTGCTCTACAAAGAAAAATCAAAGTCTCTGTAAAAATAAAAGGACTTTGTAACTCATGACACGAGTCTTCTTCGCAAAGTTGCTACAGAGACGAAAAAAAGTTCCCCATGAAGTTTATGAAAATCCCTCGAAACAAGACATAGACAACTTTATTATCCTGAAGTCTCACTGTCTTGGGGTTTGAGACCTCGGAGAGATAAATTATACACCACCTCCTCAGTCTTCTTCAGAGCATACTTGAGCTCGTCGAATTTCTTGCGTAATTCGTTCTTTGGGAAAAGGAGGGAGTACGCTGCATGCAGATCTCTTAGGAATTGCTGAATTTGGAAGGGCCGTGCATAATCACCTGCAAGAAAGAACACTTGAAATTTTCAAGAAGATTAGGGGAAGGAAGGGAGGAAAGCAGAAAACAGCTCTATTTATACATATATGTAAATGTTTCCTCTGAAATAATTCCATCCAAACTCTTAATAAAGGTGCTTCTTTCTTTGTTTTTCTCTGCCTTCACATCATCACCTTTTGGTAAATGGTAAAGTATATATTACACAATCTGGGGAAGTGAAGGTAGACAGGATGAGAATCTTCGATATAATGAAAGAAGAAGAAAGAAACATAAGAAAGAAAGAACAAAAGAAAGAAAGAGAGAAAAAAATCCATTTAATTTTCAGTGTCCGCAATACAAACATAATATTCAAATTTCTACTTTGCAATTAAAGGTGCAAACCATATTCTCAAAAATAGACAGACCTCCTAAAATGGCAGAAGAAAAAGAAAAAGGATGGGAAGAAGAAGAAGGTGTAGAATAAGGTTAATGATAAGGATGGGGAGAAGTAGAATAAGGTTAATGATAAGGATGACAAGATGAAACTCAATGGATTTAAGACCTTACAGCATATGTCAATTGTATCTAATGTGATATTTCCCATTACTAAATTATGTGATCAAAGTCCTAAAATCATAAACTGATTTCTGACCCAAGAAAAAACTTCAACATTCAATCTGCCGTAATCAAAAGATTGTTGCTGTATATATGAATACCTGAAAGGAACAAGTACACAAAGACACAGCAAATAAAGGGGGAGGTGGAAACACTTCTTACCAGCACTAACTGAATTGATAGCCAGTCTTGCCAACTCATGGCTGATGCTGAGTGTACCCAAAAGGTAGTCCTCCAAATCGAGGTGGAAGCCCTTCTCTCGTTGCGTACAAAGACCTAATGACTGTGCCACTTCTTCATGTGGTGCGAGTCTGTAAAGTGAATACAGAGATTTAGATATCACCACACTTAGGCTGCTAAACCACAAGATTACTGATCTCCCCTACACTATAGGCTAATAAATACACATCATCTGAGAGTATGAAGATGGTATACAACTGAAAATAATTTCAACTGTAACATGAAACATTCCATACCCACCGATTTTCTCGCAGATACGTGATGAGGCATGTGGCAGCAACCAGGCGCTGGGTGGTCCCTCGGAAGTTGTGGTGAAAACGGTAGTATTCGCCTGCTGGGACTTTCTCCTGTAGGGCTTCATACAATGCTGGTACACTTGCGAGCTGAGTAACGCAATCCTCACAGATTGACTGGAGGTTCTGGAATACCATGATACTTATCAGTTATTGAATGATTTCTATTTTATTTCTTTCAAATTAAAGTATGTTGAAAGGAGAATCAAAACAGCTTATGAAAGACCAAATGAGCATCAAGAATGTAGATTCCCTCTATGAGAGTGTTTAATGCCATCCACCTGTCCTAGTGCATGGAACTACAATAATACCATGCACTTCTATTGTTCCATTGTTTCTTACTGATCTCACCCGTAATTCAGGCTATCAAATACACATTATGTGGGAGTAGGAAAATGGTACAGATTGATCAATGTAAGGTCCTATCATAATAGCACCTTTCCTGTCAATTTTTACATTTTTTTCTGTGAACTTTCTGTAAATGGTCTGACCCTCTCTGAGAGGCATTCCACACGCAGAAATGTAAAAATTGTCAGAAAAAATGCTAGTGTGACAGGCCCTTTATCTATTTGTCTGGTTGACTGTTGTGGTATGTCTCTCAGGGATGCCTAAAGTCAAATGTCTCTCAATGAAGACAGAAGACATTATTATTAATTCATCTATCTGAATTCTGTACCTATGGACTTGTGACAGCCAGCCAGGACCTAAGTTAGCAAGATGAAAGGAGAAGAAGAAGAAGAAGAAGAAGAAGAAGAAGAGGAAGAAGGAGAAGAAGAAGAAATAGAAGATGATGAAGAAATAGAAGATATAGAAATAGAAGAGGAGGAGGAAGAAGAAGAAATAGCATAAAGGGAAAAAGAAACATCATTCATTATATATAACTGTAATGACTAAAAAATACCAAAAGGCACTTCAAAATAACCAAAAGGGAACAAGAACCTTGAATTATACCTTTCTAATTTTCATCCAATTCTTGTGTGGTAATATTTCCTTAAGAAATGTGCCATCCAAAAGGCTAACCACTATCCACATAAAAAGACATCTCCTATCCATTAAATTCTAAGGCCTTAAGATGTTTGATTGAGTGTATTTGTACTTCTGACATTAAATATTTGCTGAACTGTACTTCTAACATTAAATATTTGCTGAACTGAGTAATACTGGTGCTGTTTGCCCCGTTTCTTCCAGCTGACCCTCGATGACCCCCACTCCCCATGTGCTTCTACTCCATCTCCTCGAGTCAAATGTACAGGGCCCACCATTGACAAGTGTAAGAATTCTCATAATGTATGACGCATATACACTCCACAAACACCTCCAATACCATTTGTACACCCCTGTTTCCCCATACTAATCATGCAACCACCTCCTGGCAGAGTTTCCACCTCTTTTTAATGAATGTATACAGTATAAAATAAGAATTTTTGAAATCCGCCCTGCACCCTGTTACTGTGTTTACATTTTCTCCCTCTCCTTCTCTCCCTCTACATTTTCTGTGGCAGCACAGGGTGTGTTCAAGGATATTGAATTTGATAATATTATAAAATAACACAAATAGCAAAATGTCGCTTATTATCATTACACAGAGTTGTAAACAACCTAGAGAGATGACATGGAGTCTGCACAAAGAAAACAGTCAATCAGTATCTTGATAAAGTTTCTCTCTCTTCTTTCTCCTCTTCTCTCTCTAGTCTCTCCCCTCTCAGTCCCCTCTCCCTCTCCTCTTCCCCTCCCCCTCTCCCTCTTCCCTCTTCCTCCCTCTCGCCTCTCCTCTCCTCTTCGCCCTTTTCTCCTCCCTCTTCCCTCCCTCTCG